GTACTGACACAAGTGACCATGGTGACCATGGTGACACTGTTCACACTAGACCAGTGAGTGTGCCATGGACAGTGTAGTCTGTAGATCTACTGAGTCTGAGGACCGGTACTCGAGCAGCAAGGAAATGTTTGTACATGTACCAGCACGTAATCGTTGTAAAGGATCGGCGGTACCGACTTGCAGAACATCTCGCGCAGACTTTGACAGTTCATGTTGAGTAGAACGTTGCGTGATGGTGGCGAGCATTGCCCTAGTATTGCCGGTCCTCAGCCAGACTAGCGTGGCATCCTGAGCGCATAGCAAGCGTTTCCTAAGCGACGCTAGTAGAATCTACACAGTCTTACTGTTTTCCTCTGAGTGAGAACTATTAATTTTGTAGAGTATCGTCAGAACCAGTGGTGCGCGGCGCGCAAAGTCCGCAATTTACTTGCTTATGAAGGGATGCAGAAGTTCACAATTTCTTCCTTCAAATGCCGCATCTGTTGAAGGGGAGAGATTTCTCCCCGTCTACTGATTTATCAACGTGGACTTGGGATAAAGGTGAGGTGGAAAAATGGCCGTACAAGTACGGCAACAAGCATGCTGCTAATAGCAATGATATTTTTACGTAAAAAAAAGAAAACACATGAGAACGAGTTATGCAGCAACTATCCTTGACTGTAACAAGATTTAGCATTCCGCGCACACAGACGGCATGCAGACAGGCATACATCATTAGCATTCCGCGCACACAGACGGCATGCAGACAGGCATACACCACACGAATAAGGCTAGGTTGTGTTGGGCAAGTACTGGTGACGAGGAACTGGTTGGTCTTTGCCGCAAGGTAGGCACGAGCCCGTGAGGCTGCGAGTGCTGCAGAAAGGCAGAAGCCCGGAGGCTGTGATTGCCGCAGGAAGGCAGAAGCCCGGAGGCTGTGATTGCCGCAATGGAAAGGCAGGACCATAAGGCCATAATGCCGCAATAGAAAGGCAGACCAGTTAGGGGCCGTCCGTAAATATCGATGTTTTTTTAGAGACGATATTGGTGCGTCTGGGGGGGAGGGGGTTTGAGCCATGTGCGTCTTTTCGAGCATCAGAAAAATATCGATGTAAATATCTGAAGTTTCGCCGATCCCTGCACGCGGACGTCTAAATGGCTATACAAGAAATGTGAAACCAGCTTCCGTTCGCGGAGCTAAAACTCGCGACACACGAACAAAATCAAAAATTGGAAGCTGTACGCCCATGGCAAATGTCAAGAGCAAAAGAATGAGCTATAGGGCTTGAAAGTGATGACGTCAAAAACGGCCTGGGAGTAGTAAATTGACATCAGATTTCTATTTTGGATCCACTAAGGTGTGACTTTGCTATTGCCTCAGTATGTGGGTGCATAGCAACCCACTCATGTCGTATGCAGGTGCAACTTTTACTTCGCCACCAGTTGTAACCCCGCCCCCACTAGCCAAATCAGTCAGTTTCACTGGCAACATCACCTTGCTGTGAGTGAGACCGCTTGAAATGTGCTTGGATCCATACAAAAACTGGATCCAGGTGGATCCAGTTTTCGAATTTTTCAAATTGTTGCTATGCCATTGCTATGGAGTGACGTAGCACTTTCAAGCCCTATTGATTGTGGAAATCGGCCGAACGATGCCTGCAGGAGACCTTTTTCAAGACGTAGAGGCAGTGCGAACAAACATGGACGAACTCCACAAGAGTTTCCAGTCTTCACTGTCTGAAGAAGGATTTGAAAAAATGAGCATCCAAAAATATTGATTCCATGATCTAGATGTACATGTGCGTCTTCTGGGGGGAGGGGGGGTCAAGGGAGAGAAGCACCAATATCGTCTCTAAAAAACATCGATATTTACGGACGGCCCCTTATGAGTGACTCGCCACCAGGTTTATTGTACTTGAAGTAGGAATGATGCAATGTAGTATTAATGGTTAGTGGTGGGATGGTGGGTCAGCAGAAGACAAAGGCAGCAGGATGCGAGTCGGGCATGAGCCAAAGCAGAGAAGACTCAAAACTGAGAATGGCAAGGAGATGTGCCATGTTGCGGACTCGGACCCGATCAAAACTGAATAAATTATTGTGATGGCGTACTCATAAATTAATGTGATGCACAGCAGGCAATCTTGCCGGTCGCGGCAGGGCGCGCTAAACAAGTGACGCGGCCAGAACCGTAGAGGGCGCTGTTGCGCAGCAGATACGTAGTTGCGAGATGTGCGCCTACGCTAAACTGAATTCATTACATGAATACATCATAACAGTGGACGGTGCTAGACCCTGTCGAAAAAGCTCAGTGATGCAGGTGGCTCTCACCGAGTGGTTCGTGTACTTTATGGTTAGTCCAGCGGCTTCTGATATATGTGTTATCATGGAGCCGAGGGTGTTCTTGCCCAGGGGCTTGCCATTGTACCACGTATCTCTCTGACGGGTTGCTGCTGATACTTGCTGGAACAATCTTGTTTTCTCTACTGTGCCCTTCGTTAGCTTGGAGGTATACAAGTTGAACGCACTCACTTGAAAGCTGTCCACGATCCTACCATCGGACACTTCGTCAGCGGAGGTAAGGGAACCCTGGTGATTTTGTTCTTTGTGGGCAGTGGTCATACGGATGTAGGTTGTTGTGCAGTCAGACTTGACAGTTTCGAAGTCCTCATGCACAGACTTGATTGGCTTTCCCGACCTCTCATACAAATGGTTGGTCACAACAAACCAAATGAATCTCGAAAGCCTATCATTGGTGCAGTCTGTGAAGTACTTGTCCAATCTTGTGTTGTCTTCTTCACTGATGGGGGGGGGGGGGGGCTTGTGACTGACCGCTTTCAGGTCACTGTCAGATTTCAGCTTCTTGATGTAGGCAGCAAACACTTTGTTGCACTCTACGAACTCGATGCCGCTTATGATGTTGATGTTACGCTTGTGATTGTTTAGCTCTCGTTGGATAGCGTTTCTAAACGACACTAAGGTAGACTTCGCGTAAGGTGTACCTTTCTGCGTTTTGAGCGAAACATACGCAAACTTCAAAATACTAGCTAGATGTGAAGCTGAAACTGACTTCAGATCACACTGTTTCTTCTCTGACACAAGATAGTCACTAAACACTTTCAGCAAATTCTTCGCTGATTTCTTTGTGTTTTTGTTTTCCTGTTCCCACAGCATCTTCTCAACATCTTCCTCGCTCACTCGCACAAATCGTGAGTTGACAGCTCGTTCACGGACACCATGTTCTGTCTCAACTCGAACGACGCTGGTAGCTTGACCTTGGTTGATTGGTTCACCGTCCAAGTCAGCTAGCATCTCGGTCAGGACGTCCAGGTGTACGTCCAATATTTGAGACACATCGTCAGGAAGGTCAGACAGAAGTCCTTCTTCCTCAGCCATCGTCAGCGCTCCTTCACACTACAAGTAACAATGAAACCTTTTTGGTGGTGTGGTTTGCTTTGTTGGTATGTGCGGTGGTGCAGAAGTGAAAGGACCCGGGGTGCGGGGGGGGGGGGCGGGGGGGGGGGGGGGGGGGTGCGGAAGTGTACGCGTGTACGATTTGTATGTGTATGTGTACAGTGTGTATGGGGTCAAATGCCGGGAAATATCGTGTAATATTGGACCGCCTGAGCGGGCTTGTATGGAGAAATATTGCCCGCTCTATCTGGTCGCTGATTGGTTGTAGACCTGGAAACGGTCACCTGACGTGTAATAAGAAGAAATTTTCGTCTGGAATTTAATTTCGTCGTTTCGTCCAAGCAGCTTTTGGACTAAATTTATTAATGCCGGACTAATATCAATTTGAAACTCGGGTATTGAGCCAATAAAAGTAGAAAGGAAAAGGACATATGGAAAGGAGTAAAGAGTAACTCTCCACCACCGTAACTAGATACTATATACAGTCAGAAAGTGCAACAACTAGGCACAAAACTGACAGAGTACTGAGACATTCGACGTCCTGACACATAGCTTCAACTCTTTGGTCTTTCCATAACCTTGAACCTTCCAAGTTGGAAGGCTGTCGGTTAGCGCTACCGAGATGTTTTGAAGCTAGGTGTCAGGACGTCGAATGTCTCAGTACTCTGTCAGTTTTGTGCCTAGTTGTTGCACTTTCTGACTGTATATAGTATCTAGTTACGGTGGTGGAGAGTTACTCTTTACTCCTTTCCATATGTCGTTTTCCTTTCTACTTTTAATATCAATTTGTCCAGCATTTCCAATACACTTTTATGATCCATGGACGAAATTTACAACCGGACGAACTCCCATTCTTTGGAGTTGGACGAAATTATTGACCGACGAATTTTTCTGCCTGTACAGTAGTTGCAGGTGGGAATAGTCGGAAAGGTCTGAAATAGTGAATTTTGGACCATTTCTGCGCTTGTGTTCTTTTCAATGTACCTGTGGGTAAATGGGCCCAGCTTCAATGTGGCGGCTGGATTTGCTTAAATTTCGGTTTGCTAGTAGGCCGCTTGCACTCGTAGGCAGTGTCCCAGGAAATTTGACCCTGCTGTAACTGGCTTGAGTTCCAAGTCCGGATGCACGGGCAAAAAGCCCCAAAGTGGGCGATAGGTTATTTTCAGCTTTCAGCAGCCCTGCGCAGGTCGTTTATGACAATGTGTGTCATTTCTGTTGTGCACTACCCTTTGTGTGTCTGTTGTACGAATTCACGATGGTCACTGTCCAAGTTGCCGGTGTGAATAGTCGGAAAGGTGAGAAATGGTGAATTTTGGACCATTTCTGCGCTTGGGTTCTTTTCAATGTACCTGTGGGTAAATGGGCCCAGCATCAATGTGGGTGCTGGAATTGCTTAAATTTTTGGTTTGCTAGTAGGCCGCTTGCAGTCGTAGGCAGTGTCCCAGGAAATTTGACCCTGCTGTAACTGGCTTGAGTTCCAAGTCCGGATACATGGGCAAAAAGCCCCAAACTGGGATATAGGTAATTTTTAGGGTTAAGCAGCCCTGGGCAAGTCGTTTATGACCATGTGTATCATTTCTGTTGTGCACTACCCTTTATGTGTCTGTTGTAGGTATTCACGATGGTCACTGTCCATGTTGCAGGTGTGAATAGTCGGAAAGGTGAGAAATAGGGAAATGTTGACCATTTGTGCGCACTGTTCGTTTCAATGTAAGTGCGTGTAAATGGGCCCAGCTGCAATGTGGGTGCTGGAATTGCTTAGATTTTTGGTTTGTTAGTAGTCCGCTTGCACTCGCAGATAGTGCCCCAGGAAACTAGACCCTGTGGTAACAGGCTTGAGTTCCAAGTCCGGATGCACTGGCTAAAAGCCCCGAACTTGGAGATCGGTTATTGGCGCACTAGCCAGTGGCTAGAGTGTGTTAGCGCCGCATGAACACCTGCCAGCTGGCAGCTTGATTACACTATTCAATCACACAGATTCACGGCGCAAATCTACAGCGCAGCTCCGAAACCGCGCCAAGAGAGGTGGCAGCTCATACCTCGTATTTCTTCTGCTCCAAACTTTTCCCACGTGCCTTGCTTTGAGTGTTGCCTTTGTGAAAGTAGAGTTCGCTGCTGTTGCCTGGCTTTCATAGTTTTGCTCCTAGCTTTTTCTCCCCCACCAACACCCACCCTATAGCTGTTGCTCTACGTTAACATGTTGCTATATTCTCTGCAGCCTATGTGGTTTGCACTTGCATCCGCTGTAACTTGCCATATTCAATTCTAAAAAACATACAAGTAAAATAAAACATTGGGGAGTGCGGATGTTCGCTCACAACTTGTTTGCCCTGTTTGCTTGCTTGCGACTCAGTTGCAGAGTCATTGCCTGTTCGTGACTCAGCAGAGTCTTTTCGCATTGCGACTCATTTGCCGAGTCACGTGACATTGCACCAGTTGTTCGAATCCAGAACTCCACCTATCCAATTTAACTCATACAGACTATTCTGTGTGTGCTCGTTCATGCGTGTGGGTCCGCATGCACGCGCATGTACATGTCCGGCTGTGTGAAGCACGGGCTAATTTTTAAAAGGCTTCAGCAGCCCTGGACAGGTCGTTTATGACAATGTCTGGCATTTCTGTTGTGCACTTCCCGTTGTGTGCCTATTGCAGGAATTCACGGTGGTCAATGTACATGTTGCAGCTGTGAATAGTCGGAAAGGTGAGAAATAGGTAAATTTTGACCATTTGTGCGCACCTGTTCATTTCAATGTAAGTGTGTGTGTAAATGGGCCCAGCTGCAATGTGGGTGCTGGAATTGCTTAGATTTTTGGTTTGCTAGTAGGCCGCTTGCACTCGTAGGCAGTGCCCCAGGAAATATGACCCTGCTGTAACTGCCTTGAGTTCCAAGTGCGGATGCACGGGCAAAAAGCCCCAAACTGGGAGATAGGTAATTTTTAGGGTTCAGCAGCCCTGGGCAGGTCGTTTATGACAATGTGTGTCATTTCTGTTGTGCACTACCCTTTGTGTGTCTGTTTTAGGAATTCACGATAGTCACTGTCGAAGTTGCAGGTGTGAATAGTGGGAAAGGTGAGAAATAGTGAATTTTGGACCATTTCTGCGCTTGTGTTCTTTTTCCTGATGATGAACCTATGGCCATATGGGTAAATGGGCCCAGCTTCAACGTGGGTGCTGGATTAGCTTATATTTACTGTTTGCTAGTAGGCCGCTTGCACTCGTAGGCAGTGCCCCAGGAAATTTGACCCTGCTGTAACTGGCTTGAGTTCCAAGTCCGGATGCACGGGCAAAAAGCCCCAAACTTGGAGATAGGTAATTTTCAGCTTTCAGCAGCCCTGGGCAGGTCGTTTCTGACAATGTGTGTCATTTCTGTTGTGCACTACCCTTTGTGTGAATATTGCAGGAATTCACGGTGGTCACTGTCCATGTTGCAGCTGTAAATAGTCGGATAGGTGAGAAGTGGTGAATTTTTGACCATTTGTGCGCACCTGTTCTTTTCAATGTACCTGTGGGTAAATGGGCCCAGCTGCAATGTGGGCGCTGGAATTGCTTAGATTTTTAGTTTGCTAGTAAGCCGCTTGCACTCGTAGGCAGTGCCCCAGGGAATTTGACCGTGCTGTAACTGGCTTGAGTTCCAAGACAGGATGTACGGGCAAAAAGCCCCAAACTTTGAGATACGTTATCGCCGCGTTCAGCAGCCCTGGGCAGGTCGTTTATGACAATGTGCGTCAATTCTGTTGTGCACTACCGTTTGTGTGCCTATTGCAGGAAATCACGGTGGTCACTGTCCATGTTGGAGCGGCACACTTTGGCCATGGCACATTCTAGTATATCTACATGGACAGCAGTCACAGCACCATGATGCCGGAGTTCAGGGATTGTCCAAATCACTCCTTTTATCAAACTAATTATTTGTCATACCCTCAGTCTTAGGAATATCTCAGTAATGATATTGATTTTCAATGTCTTTCTAAATTTACCCTGCAATCCATCTCAAAAGACAAACAAACATGATGCAGTTTGAAATCTTGAATCTTGTTGCCAAGCACGTGCCAAATGCAGAGAAGGTACGCTTTTCAACGGCCAAAGGGAGTTGGAACGCTTGTGTCTTTGTGGGTAACTTGAACATTGGGGCTCATGCAAAATCGCATCGATTTTGGGATTTCCCCGCAACTTTTTGCTTCAGCAAAATGTTGTGCTGGACCACATTCCTGTCACTTCGCAGTGGCTTATTGTTGGTGCAGTTAGTATCCCACCCTCCCATCCCTGACTTCTGGGTGTGTGTTTATCGATATCTTATTGGTTTTCTTATTGCCAATATTGGCCATGTGGCTGTGGCAGTTACGACTGCTTTTCTTTTTTAGTTAAAAAAACGTAGGGGAGGTGTGCGTCGTGGGCCATTGTATGCCGTGGTTACATACAGCTTCAGATTGTATGGCTAGTATAGTGACAGGGGGGTTGAGTCTGCAGGAGAAGAATACAGTGATTGAACTGAAGCTGGATGATGACCGTGTGGTGAGTGTGTGGGGATTTAGAGATGCCGCCGTCCTTGGGCAGGGATATAGGTCCTTTAGCATGGACGGGTGTTGTTACATTCGTTGTAACAATGATGTTGTCGTTTTCTGTGTGTTTTGCTGTGCGACTACAGTAGCAGCAGTGTCTTGTGCATATTTTGTTCTTACCAGGCTCTATGCATACAATTATGCAAGGAAAAAAAAGACGTTCCTCCTCTATGTGTCAAGGCTGCAAATCCGCTACAACCGAAAAAGAGAGGTCGCCCAAAGGGGCCATGTATCTCGTGTATATCCGGGGGACAGGATGTATGTATGCAGAAGAATGTTGTATATCAGCTGAAGTGCAAAGAATGTCCGGAACAATATGTTGGTGAGACTGGCCGCTTTCTGGAAACTCGCCTGGAAGAACATAATGGTGAGGCAAGACGCCAGGAATTCGACAAGCCATGGGGCCAACATTTTCGCACCACTCACCCTGGATGTAAGCTTAACTATGGGCAAAGTGCATTCTCTGCAGTTGAAGTAATAGGAAGAGAGCCTGATCGAGCCCGTCGAAAACTGCGCGAGGCGATTGAGATTCGTGATGCCAAGCCCCATGTGAACATAAGCACCGGATGGGATTTGTTGTGAATTTTCTCAGCTTCCCCTGCTGCTACTTCAATATCACTGAATAATTATAATATGAGGCGGGTCACTCAAAACCATTCTATTCCTGATGCCTCGTCGCGTCCCTGGTGGTAACAGTTTGGCATGGAAGTTTTAACCTCATAGTGCATTGACTCATGGGGCTCCGTGCTCCCCTCCTAGATCCTGTGCTAGAATTAACACCATAATTATTTGGCATGTACCCTCACTTCGTAGAGCACAACGGCGCGCTCTTCTTCTCCGTGATGTGCACAGTTGCACCTTCTCTCTCTTCCTCCCCCCCCCCCCCCTCTGTATAGAGGTGACATAACTCGCATCATTTTATTTTTTGGCGCTACACTCTGTGCAACGCCATTCACAGAGCACAATGCGCGCTACCTTTTGCTGCTTCTCCTCCGTGATGTGCTAGTTGCGCCTTTTTCTCTCTCTCTGTCATACTAGGTGACATAATTCGCATCTTTTTTGGCGCTACACTCTGCGTATATACTGCTCTTGTGTGGCTTCCACGGTATTCATTGTTATTACCTGATGATGGCCAAGTGCCGAAACGTTGTAAAATAACGGAACTGGTTCGGATGTGATATGCAGCGCTATGGGAATGGGTGTGTCCACCCGAATTCTTTTCACAGAAAAAAAAGAAGAACAAAAATCAGGAAAGAGATAGTATTATAATAATATCAATAAATAAAGCCGTTGCCGAGCCACCGTGCTCACAGCAGCTAGCAAATACTTCTGTGCATGTTTGTGTTATTGTTTTGAAAGTGGACCACAAAGACCACGATATCTGCACTTATCACTCCCTTAGTATTGACTCACATAGACTTTTGCCATACCTAAGCAGTCAAATATTCCTGCATATTTCACTCCTTAGGGCTATATTGACTGCTTATATTTGACTGCTTAGGGGTTGCGCAGTTGAACGGTGCCTAGTGCAGCATTGTCATTGCATGAGTGGTGCAACGGTTGTGCAATCATAAAACCGGGATTCATGAGGTTATCGTTCTGGAATTTGAAATACGGACTGTTTGTCGTGATAAATCTAATATTGACTTCGTACTTGGTCAGTATAGGAAATAAAAAACCTCGTAAAAGACCTAGTACCTCGGCTTCGCCTCGGTCTTTTACTCGGCTTTTATTTCCTATAATTATTGACCTCGTACTCAGTCAATATTAGCCTAGATACGTAGTCTTCTACATACTGTAAAAGCAGAAATTTTCGGTGGTGTAATATTTTCGGTATTCTCCAAAATCGGCGGTTCGGTGGAGGGAAATTTTCCGTAAAACCCGTTTTCCAGGTAAGTGTTCTCGCTCCTTCCCGTTTTCTGTAGTCTTGGGGCGCGTTTGGTTGGTACGAACTAGAACAGGATTCACCAGAACAGCGCGTTTGGTTGGGACTGCACCTGTTCTGGGTCGGCCAGAACATGTTCTGCTTGCTCCGACCTCGAGGCCGGAGCAGACCGAGCAGTTTCACTTTTTCACAGTGAAACCTGGCGGGAACATCGATTTTGTACCCAAATGATCACGTGCATACGCTTTTGGGTTGGACTCGTCGTACCGTACAAAGTGACCATGGTGATCCATACACATTTTGAAGAATGCACCAAGTTTGGCACATTTTTCCACAAAAATGTGCTCTGTTTCTGGAGTAGCGTTTGGTTGGCATGAGGCTGCTCCATGTGCACCAGCTGTTCGATCCTGTTCTAGATCGTACCAACCAAACGCACCCTCAGTATGGAACAGCTTGCCAAGCGAAATTGTAAGGGCTCCACTCACGGCTTGAAGCGGCTCCACACGTTCAAAGAAGATGTCCATAAGTACCTCACGCACCAACACTGGCTGATGGCTACCGACTTCTACGGATGAACTCCTGACTGTGGCACGGGTCATGTTCCTTGGTTCGGCTATGTAATGCTGATGATATTGGGCTTCATTTACCTTTTATTATTTAATTTATTATTATTAATTTTTTTGTTTAGTTTGTTTTGTTTGTTATGATTTCTAGAATTCTTGGTTTTCCACCCGGTTTAGTTATAATTTAAATTATTATTTGGTGCAGCTTTAGCGCTATGTGGTTTATTATTCTCCTTTTTCTTAATTTCGTATTTAGCGCTTTTGGGCGTCATTATTTTCTTCTCATTATTTCGCACCAAGTTATTATTTGTGGTATTCTCTAGCTTCTGTTTGTTTTGCAGTTGTTCTTGTGCAACCCCCCCCCCCCCCACACACACACACACATTTTGCGACGCCTAGTTGCAACGCTGACGCCGAGACCTCTGGTCGCGACGTCGGTTGAGTTGCTCCCAGCACATCAGCACGTCGTCCCTACATCCCCTATGTTTTGTCCTTTTCCTCGTTTCTTTTTGCTCTCCACCTGTTTTCCAGTAGTAGGGCTGTGTCAATAGTAAAAAAAAAAAAAAAAAAAAAAAAAAAAAAAAAAAGTGTACTAGCTCTGCATGTATACATACAGTACAGGTAGTACCGAAATTTTCGGTGCGTTATATTTTCGGTAAAAATTGTCAGCACCGAAGTTAGACACCACCGAAAATGTCTGCTTTTACAGTAGCTGAGGCGAAAGGCTAAAGGGACAAGCCCAACTATTTTTGCGGATTTTCTGTCATAAAAAATAAACGTCACAGGCTGCTCTTCGTAGGTGTCCGCGTCCCAGCGGTCCGGGCAAGCGACCGCACCTCAGTGGGACACTTGGCCGTGGCTTTTGTACTGCAATCTGTGGGAGAGCCTTTCCAGGGGTAGTACACACCTGGCCTGGGTAGATCTACCAGGTATGGACGAATCCATGGTACATGGTGTTGATCCTTTTTTGTTCCTTTCCTTTTTATTTGTTTTTGCTGAGAAAGAAACGTTGCTGTTTCTGTTCCCGCCAGCGCCTTTGCTCTAGTAAAACATTGCTGGCTGA